AAAATACGTCGAGTCGCCCGGAGCATATATACTTAGACCCCGATCTATGGAGACAACTGATCACAATCTCTTGTCAGGCTTACGAACACACCAACTTCGGTTCCAAGGTAAAATCTCGCCCTTATAAAGTTTCTTCGCGAACGCAGCATTGACTCAGCACAAGTCAGCACAACTTCACCACCCACACCAATCTATTTAGACTGCCCCAGTCATACTACTATTATCTACAAAGAAATTCATATACGTCCTTGAACTAGCCAACATAGCCATCGAGATCTTAATGTCCATAAACAACAACATTGTTACTCTGGAAGCACCAGACCTCTTTTAGCGGCGTGAAAAGAGAGGAAAGAACACAGAAGACTGTCACAAAAGCGCTGTAGTATAATACCGATAAACAACACTTATGAATTCACGCTCCCATCAATGCCTAAAGATCAACGGTGGTATTCTTTGGCCCTTGTCTGATCTCAGAACCCCACGTTATCAAAACTATCCCTAATCATGCATACCTCACTTTTACCTAACCAGCTACCTATCGCCCCTTTCCCTCCTCCCTCAAAAGAAAATGTTCGGGAGGGACGGGCCCTACACGCACGTACACGCACACCACACGGTACGGCTCCTTCGGACATTCCGTTATGCCTGTCCAAAAAAAACCCCCTTCCCCCTCTAACTACGTACTTGCTATTGAACTTTCTCCTAACCACAAACACTTCTGGTACCAAGATCGCCAGAATACGTGGTCAGGCAACTCAATCGGCGTGTCAGCGCTACCGTGGCCCCGTTTTGCCGGGGAAGTAAGGGGGGAGGGGTGGAAGGGCACGGGTCGGTTGTATCTCCGCCTTCTTATTTAACTCCACGGCAACGGCCGGGTACATGATAGCGCATATACGGATATGGTAACCGCATCTCGATGCAGTCAGTTATTACGCTGAATCGTGCATCGGGCGATTGTAATTGTGATGCGGGGGAAGGGGGTTTGGATTTACTTCTTCAGGATTTACATCTTTGCGTGATCAAAGTTTGGTCTTGTTTCCAGTTTTTTCCTGAGCCATTGAGGATGTGGTTGTAGCAAGAGTTGGTTGCGACGCTCATGACGGTTGTTTCGCGTGTAATTTCCTTTTTTCTCGAAACAACGTGAGAGAAAGAGAGGGTAGTGATTGCCGTGATGAGAACGCTGATCTGTCTGTGGAGACAGCCGGCAGTTGGGGGGAATGTATGGCGTGTTTGGGACTTTCGGACGATTTACCATTTGGGTGATAAATTCGTGGAGGAGAAGTGAGGGGGAGGAACAACGGCTTTATGGCCATCGGGATGTCTATGCCACAATATCTCTGCTTACCCCCGTCCGACCCAATTGGTTAGCCTCTGGTTCAACGCCTTTTTTCTTGGGACTGTTACGTATTACCACATTTCTATTCATACAAAAGCAATATTCGGAGTGACCGAGGCGAGGCCAAACTTTAATTACATCTAGAGCCATCCAGATCCAACCAGATCCAGTCAGATCCAACCAGATCCAACCAGATCCAGTCAGATCCAACCAGATCCAGTCAGATCCAGAAAGGTCGCCTCCAACACTCATACGCATTTTGCATCTTGTCGGTTTCGTATCCGTGATTCTGACAGTAGCCAGAGATTGGGCACCACAAGTCAGTTAAGACGGCGAGGTGAGGCGAACAAGCCTTTCGCCCAAAAAACGGTCGGACGCAGCTGTGATCAAAGTGTCTACGATGTGCATCGAAAGCTACCAAGTTCGGGCGACCGTCCCGTCCCGCCCTGGGCGGAGTATGCTCCGACTTATTGCGAAATGCTGGAAGCCCTTGTACATACTTGGGAAGTAGGTGTTAACGCAACAAAATTATCATCAAATCTTGCTTCCTTCGGTCCTCCGTGTTTACCTGCATGTTGAACAAGGTTTTTCAGCTACCAAAACTTTATCTCACTTCTAGCAATCACGTAGCTTAGGTGTCAAACACTCAGCCTCCGTCCTCGTTTTCCCTGCCTGCTAGTGTAGTTCTAAACTCATGTTTTTCCTAACGCAGGGCTACTTGACTAGTTCACATGAGACTAACTTCAAAGAAACACGCCAGTGACATCTGGAAAATGAGTCGAGGTCGAATTAGGGGTGAGCTAGTCCTAGGTTCGAGGGCATCTCTAAGAACCATCATTGTTTATTGTCACATGGTCTCGGAACTAGCTTCGGGCCCCCATTCCTCTTTTTACAACCACTGTGCATATGCAGATGTAAAAGAATCTCTCCTATCAAAAGGGAGAATTCGCAGTATCGATGAAAGCCTATTTACTTCACTGTGGAATGTGCCGTCCATCTTGTCTAGGTAGTTTGGGAAGGTGCACCGATCTGCGCATTCAGATCAGAGAGAGAAAACACTAGTCGGACCTAGTATGGAGTATAATCCGAGTACGGGAACGTGCTGGTGTTTTGTGGGAGGAGATGAGATGCGTCGATTAGGTAGTGACCTTCTATAGACGGATGAGTGAGCCCCCAACAGACCGTCAACGACCCAATACCGTCTTCAAGGGAGCCGCCTGCACAAAGAGATTGCGCGTACTAAAATCTTTGCATGTTTGGTGGATCAGCCTCAAGAAACCGGTTTCGAGCAGCTCAGGTGTACGGCAGTTGTTTGTCTTCATGGTCTTCTCGCGCATCTTGTCTGCTTTTGGGGGTGATTATCCAATTCTTGTCGTATCTATTCTTAGTCCACCACAGATAACTCTCGGCTCTTGTTGAGGCTGATAAATAGAGTTAGCATTGTCAACAGCAGCCTCGTGGCGAGCATAAGGCCCGATCCTCGTAGACAGATGACCCCGGTCAAAGGGGGAGGCAAATCTCAACAACCCCCATGTCAGTTTGCCATCAGAGACCCTGCGTTAGTTTATCAAACGTTAGACGTCTCTTGGGCACTGCTGCTGTTTGATTCGTCTCGTGGCTATGGGTATGCACAGACATGTTCAGCTCGATATTGCCAAGAACGGTCCGACTGTATGTAGTGAAACTATAAGGAAAAACATTCGTAACTGGAAGGAGGAGCAAGGGAACACGCTGCTGGGGTTTCTTCTCGTCTTTCGAAGTACAGTCGGCTCTATTCTTCGGACTCAAGGGGTCCCCAGGAGGGGTTGTGCCACGGGGTGTTTGTTTCTGCGAGGTATAAGTATTGAACGGTCTTCAGTGCTAGAATAGACAGACTCAGTTCTTCTGAATATCATACCAAGAACTTTCTTATATTCAGTCCATCTTCTTTTCATTTCAATTGCCGACGCGGCCTGTTTCTTTGGGTGGTACACCACTTCTTCAAGATGTTGGACGCCATCATCCAAAACACCTCACCATGGAGTGTCTTGTCAGTGGCATTGCTTTCTCTTGTCGTCTATCAGGCCGCAAAGATGATCTACAATGCTCATATCCACACTCTACGAAGTATCCCCGGACCCTGGATTTCCTCTGCAACCACACTCTGGATCCGATGGCAGAGATGGCACGGCCGACTCTCCTTAGAAGCAGACAAACTGATGGCACAATACGGTCCCATTGTCCGGATCGCCCCCAACCTGGTAATCCTAAATGATCCAGAATCCGTGGAAAGAGTCTTTATCAGGAAGGACCTGGATACCTCACCAACCTCAATCCGTGCTCTACGTGTCGGCGGCCATGACTGGACAGTCACCTACCCTCAACACGACATTGCACGCCAACGCCGCCATCCAGTCATGATCGCAACCACTACCAAGAACCTCAAGGCGTCTCACCAATCCTTCGTCAACATAATTGAGGACATGGTCCGCGACCTCGGCGCCTCCGACGGCACAAAGTCCGAAGACATCGTCCACCACCTCCGCATCTGCACGCTCAAAAACTCCCAAATCATCATGGGCGGCTCCGCCGTAGACCTCGACACAAAGGACTTCCCCCGCGTCGTCGGCGAGTACAACTTCCTCGTCGTCTGGCGCCTGTGCCTCCCCTCCTGGCTCTTCGAATGGCTGCAATACGTCCCGATCTTCCCCCACGCCCGCTTCCGCGTGCAATCCAGCGACAAGCTCTTCGATCTCGGCGAAGCCCTCTGCAAGCAAGCCGCGCAAGCCACCCCGGATACCACCACATCCACCACCTCCGACACAAACGTCCACAACCTCTTCACGGACCCCTCTGCAAAATACCCCACGCAATCCTCGTGGTCCAGCCCCGAACTCGGCGCCGAAATGGCCGGCCAAGTGCTCGCAGCCACAGAAACAACGTCCTCGGCCCTCGCCTTCATCTACTACGAACTCGCAAAGAACCAGCAGCTGCAAAAGATGCTGTACCGAGAACTCATCGCACATGAAGGCTACGAAGACCTCGACACCCTCAAACTCCTCGATGCATGCATCAAAGAAGGCCTGCGCTTCCGCCCCCCCGTCGCCCTCACCGGAAGCCGCTGCATCCCCAAAGGCGGTCTTGAAGTCCTGGGCTACTACCTACCCGCCGGCACAGTAGTAACGACGCAGAGTCTCTCCATGAGTCGTCAGCGCCCCGACCTGTTTCCGGATTTCGATGCGTATAATCCCTTGAGATGGATGGATGAGGATGACGAGTTTAGTGCCGAGAGGAAGAAATTGGTGGTGCCATTTGGCGTGGGTGCGAGAAGGTGCCCTGGAGGCAATATGGCGACGTACCAGATGAGGCTTATTCTTGTGGCGACGATCCGGGCGTTTAGGATTACGCTGGCGCCGGAGACGACGCCGCAGGCTATGGAGCCGTTTGAGGCGAATGGGTACAGATCGAGGCATGATAGGTGTGACTTGATTTTTACGCCACATACAGTGTGAAGGCCGTGAGATTGAAGGAAGATGATGGATTTTTTTGGTAGTCTTTGTTTTCTCTTCAATGAAATTTTAGGTTTCAACTTCAACTCTGGCTCTGCTTGATGAAAAACAATTCGTGTTCTAGCTCTTTCGGGATAAAGTGTAGCTACAATACGATTATACACCAAGTCAGTACTTCACTCGCTGTCACTTCGTCATTTCTCTACACTACCTTTCTAATCAGATTGCCTCAGCGTCTTCTGCCCCACTACTACTACTACTACTCCTCCTCCTCCTCCCCAACCGGCGGCGGTGGGAGCGGAATACTAAAATTATCTAGACTCGCCCATTGGCTACTCCTGTAATGCGCACCTTGTGTCATACTCACTATAGGACTACTCCACTCCTCAGTTGTAGCACCTGCTTTCCCCGGGCTAGGGAAACTGCTTGGGATGAAAAGGGGAGGGGGCTTGTCCGGCGAAATAAAGACAGGTTGGGAGCTGGCGATGCGGTGGGGAGTAGTGTGTGTGCTTGAGAAATTATGGGTTCGCTTGGTACGAGGTGTGCGTTGCGTTATCTCGTCGACAGTGGTTGCTTGGCTAGGACGGTAACCTGACAGATGTTGCTGTTGTTGTTGTAGTGGCAGTTGTGCGGTGTTTGTAGGTGGTAGCGGCGTGCCATTGTAGCTAGATGCGTCGGGTATGACACGCAGGCTTGATGATTTGGAAGGCAGTGCATTCACGTACTGTGAATAGGAGAGCCACTCGTCCTGTAGCTGTTTCTCTGCCTTACTTGAATGGGATTCTTGAGTCTCGTGCTGCGGAGATGGAGAGCGGGGGACCTGGACGAATTCGCCGTTAAGGTCCACGGATTGGTCCATGTCGGCTGATACCGACTGCAGGGAAGGTTGCCTTGCCGATTGTGATAGACTTGGCTCTTTTTTAAGTGAAATCTCCTCATCAAAAGAATCTTCAGGCATAGCTATAGGCGCAGAAGGGAAGGTATTATGGTCATCTGCCTCGAGAATCGGTGGTGTCGAATGAAGCTGCTTGATTTGTGTAGATAGCTCAGCTCTAGTTCTTACTGAGACAGAGGGTAACCCCGCAAAATTCTCGCCGTCTTCGTCTTCGCTTTCAGGCTCTTGCTTGATCCGAGTTGGCTCATCGTGGTAAGCTAGACGATCCTTCTGGATAACCCGCCCGCTTCTACTATATGGTTGCTCATTAAGGTCCCCTAATTCGGGTGAGGGCTCTTTGTGGCCTCGGAGAATAGGAAGACTGTCTGATTCCAGCGATGACTCGGGCAAGACTGTACCACCGGCATCGTTGGCCTCGGCACACGCGCGATCGATTTGATCAAGCATAGCCTGAGTATCCGTACCAGCGCTTTTGCCCAGCGTCGAGAGTCCTATGTCCTCGCTAAATTCTTGCTTAGCCCGTTTAGACAGAGGCACGTCTTCTTCAATAGCATCTTCGTCTTCGTCTTCGGAGTCCTGGATGGTGCTCTCAAATCTCCTCAGTTTTGGTGGAAATATGGGAGTCTTGAGCGGCATTTCGAAACTCACTTGCTTTCGCTTTGATGGGGGTTCTACAGCTCTTTCGCTAGAGTTTGTCGCGTATTGATTTAGTGGCGACTGGTTCGGCTTGTGGGGCGTGAATTGGGTAGACAGCGGCGAGTCTGCTGGTGATTGAGAAGATGGTATCTCACAAATTCGTCGCTTCTCTGGGGTAGAAAGGAGACTGAATCGGGCCTTGGCTGATCTCTCCGATTTGCCTGGGACAGACAAGGCATCTCCTACTTTTGGGGCTTGTGCCACCGTATTCCGTTGGGTCGCTCTGCCTGATCTTCTGGAAGGAGCCTCAATGAATTGCGTTGGCTTATACCCGTCGTCGCAATCATCTTCTACTGATTGCACTACAGACCCGGTCATGTCTTGCGAATCTGCCGTCAACTGATGCTCCTTTTTCTCGATCAATAATGGTTTTGCGTCTCCATTGAGTTTTTCAGTAGTCAGCTCCGCGTCATCATTGTCCCCTGTCTGGTACAGGCCTTGCTGTGCCAGTCGCCGTGCTACAGCATGGCCATACTCATGACCGTCTTTATCTTCCACTTCAATACTTCCAAGCGCCTCATCCATATCATCATCTGATATTATCTCCAAAGGACGCATTCCAGGCACCATCTGTGTCAGAGTCTGCTGCTTCTGATCCTTGCTTCTCTTGTCACTTTTGCCCTTGCCTCCCCAACTTAATCGTGGTGTCTTCTTGAGAGGCTTAAAATCAGGCTCTTCAACGCCTGGCATAGGTTTTCGCCCATCTACCATTTGCGTCATGGTTGACTGCCTTCTCAGTGCGCGCTCTCTATCCATCTTGTTCGCCTCATTGTCAGACGTGCCCTGAACGCGCTGTGTACGACGATGGTTCTTTGACGACGCAGTTTTGCATTGACGTTTGGGTTCATGTAGAATGGAATCGTCGTGTTCGTTATCTTGCTCTTCACGCATGATGCTGGTATCTCGCTTCCTGCCTTTCTGCTTCGCCTTGTCCATAGTTTTCTCATCCGCATCCTCCTCTGTATCCGTGTCAACGTCCCCGCCATCCTCATCCGAGTCGCTAACCATGCGCATCGTTTCCCTTCTCATTTTATCTGGCAGAAACACCATCTGCCGCTTCTCGTGGTCATCGGGTACGGGCGTAGAGCGGCGCCGGACCGTCTTGCTCTTATGCGGAAAGTGTATTTGCTGCGGTATTTTCTTTGAGTAATACACTTTAAAATCGGTTTCTCGATTGCTGGTTCGCGTACGAGGCGTCATGGTGCAACGGGTGGCGAGCAATCGACAAGGAGAAACGTCACGGCATTGGAGACGCGAACGCGTTGAGGGGCCACTACTAGCGCGAAATGATGCCTACGGACCATGCTTCATCACCCTGGACCGCATCCTAGACCGCATCCTGGACCGCAATTCAAATGTCACATAGTTAGTAACAGACAAATCTTAATTCACTCAAAGTCATCACATGGGCTACGAAGTTGACTAATATTACTTTTGCATTGTATCGTGTTGCTATACATTCTAGGTGTAAAAGCATGTTGCTCGATGCTTCAACTTTTGAAGTTGAGAACAGATCTAAGTCTTGATAAAAAAAACTATAAAGCTTGCATAAACTAAGGCATTGTGAAACATGCCAGATTAGGAAGAAAAAAAGCGGGATGTAAGGGCTCAAAAGAAAAAAGACTACATGACAGGAGAAGAGGCAGTTTAAGCCTTCTCCGAAAGTTCCTTAGGCTGCACTGGGGGTGTGCTAGTTCCAGTTATGGAAGCGTAGCGAGCGTTATCGTCTCCCTTCTCGCCCTGGCGACCAGAGTCGGTGTTATAACCGCTGCCAGCAGGTGAAGACTCATTGGGTGCCGTTTGGTTATTGGCTCCAGCCTGTTGCTGCTCCACCTTCTGCTTCTTTGGCTTGGGCATGCGGACGAGGTAGTAGAGGGCGAGAGCCGCGCCGATGTTGAAGAAGATGTAGGCCCAGAGGATACTACAAGTATAAGTTAGCAATGTTTTGATAAAATGTTGGTCTATAGCTGACTTACCCATAGTTACGCCAGAAGTCTTTGTAGTCAGATGAAATGTTCTTGAGGAAAACGTTGGTATCTGAGACGGAACAGTAGTTGCAGTCGGTGGTGGCGTTTACGTTGGCCACATAGCCACCATGGCGGTTAACCCAGGGCTGCATGTATTCACCGCAGGTCTGGCCTTGCCTTGGTTGGATGCGAATGAGTTCGTTTTGGGCGCACTGTACGCGACTGTTGGCGAGACCACCAGACAGCAGACCAGAGACCATGTATGTAAACGGCGAAACACGGTACATGAAGATCCAGAAACGAGGAAACGTCGAAGGCTGAGCAAGGACACCACAGAAGATAAGGCATAGAGAGAACATCATGTTGGCGATGTTGCCGCCAGTCTCTGCGGTCTCGATACCGGCAATGATCATGTGCGTGAAAGTCGATGTGAAGAGCAAGAACATCCAGACGTAAAGGAATACCTGAAAACCGCGTAGAGTGACTTTGTCGGTCAACTCGGCATTCTTGTAGAGACCAATAGGATAATACCAGCAGAAGAAGATGAGCACAGCCATGAGTGAGTTCCACGGAAGTTCCACGAAAATGTTGGACATCATGAAAGCCTTCCAAGAATAGGCCTTGCTAGGTCGCTCACGAACCTCATACAAGGCGCGCTGGGTGACAAAGTGAGGCATAATCTGCTGGAGCAATTGACCAAAAATGGTCAGCAACATGAAGATACCAAACATTTGATTCTGGAGACCGGTTTGGGTGTTGGGCATCTTGTATAGCGAGAAGCCGATAAAGAGAGCCGACATAACACAGAGGAAGACCTTGGAGTAGATGTACGAAGGGCTGCGCCAGTATTGTTGAAAGACACGAACGGTTGTCTCACGGAGTTGGACCATGAACGGCGCGGCGAACTCGCGATAAGCAGCCTTGTCCTCTCGTTTCTGTGCAGACAGGGTACGCTCAAGAGCTTGAGCTTGGCCGCGTTCCGACTTGAGCTCAGCGAGATGGCGCTTGACCGCGGCATACTCTTGGGAGTTGCGCCATGTCTGGTGCCAGTCAATGTCGGTATGCGAACCAGGAGCAGCGCCAATGACTTCCAACATCCACTCAGCCGGGTTAGCAGCCGGGGGGCAAGCAGGGCCTCCATTGCGGACAAAATAGTCAACAAGGATACGTGAGTTCTCGCCGACATCTCCATAGTAGACGGTTCTTCCGCCACGGGCCAAGAACAACAGACGGTCGAAACGTTGAAACAACATGGCACTAGGCTGATGAATGGTGCAGAGAATAGCCTGGCCGTTCTTCTTCAGCTTGTCAAGGAGATCCAGGATAGCCCAAGATGTTTGAGAGTCGAGTCCAGAGGTAGGTTCGTCCAAAAAGAGAAGAAGGGCAGGCTTGGCAGCTAGTTCTACGCCGATGGTAAGGCGCTTTCGCTGCTCGACATTGAGACCTTCGCCAGGCACACCGACAACTGCGTCGGCATATTCGGTCATTTCTAGAAGCTTAATAACCTCTTCGACGTATTGAACCTTTTCTTCACGAGGTACGTGCGCTGGTTGACGTAGGACAGCAGAGAAAGTGAGGGCTTCACGAACGGTGGAGGTGGACAGATGGAGATCCTGTTGCTGGGCATAACCTGGTATCGAGTTAGCGGATGTTTCTTTTGAGAAAGTAGTAGATACTGAACTACAGACAAAGACTCACCTGTTTTGCGCTGGAAGGAATCGTCACGGGGTCGACCGTCTACGAGCATTTGACCTGTAATTACACCCATAGTTGTGCGCGTAGCCAAGCAGTCTAGAAGAGTTGTTTTGCCAGCACCTGACACACCCATGAGCGCAGTCAAAGTACCTGGTTTAACCCATCCATCGACGTGGTCGAGAATGCGGCGAGGCTCTCCTTTGATAGTGATGTCGTAGCATACGTCCTCCCATTGGAAGATGGCAGTCTGGCGTTCGATGATGGCGATATCGTCCGAGTTATTCTGCGCCACAACGCTGCGGCCGGGATCAGCAGATTCGAGGTCGTCTTGTGACCTGCTCTTGGGAGTGGCGAACTTGTGGCCGCGACGGAAAACAAGAACTTCGCCCTTGGATTTCTTAGAAGTGATGTATTCCGTAGCAACAATATAAACGATCATGAGAGCGATCATGAACGCCCAGAGGATTCCAAAGTTGCGCCATTTGTTCTTAACGTAGTAGTTGAAGGATGAGTTGATGTAGGCGTCTCCCTCGACGTATGTCTGCCCAGCAACGGATCCAATAGCCTGGCAAGCTCGCTGTGCACCGGATATACCGTTGTAGGCGCCAACTCCGGCAGTACCAGTGCTGGTAGGAATGTAATTTGTGCATTCGAATTTCCTGTCGTGGAACTCGTTGACCATGAGCGATTCGAAGCCATAGCTGACAGGGTTGATGCGACGAATCCACTTGGCCCAACCACGCATGTAGCTCGGAGGAATAGCGAAACCGGTATACATGACAAGACCAAGAACAAGGATGGCAGCGGGAGCCAAAGCCTGATCTAGAGAGCGGGACAGAGCGGCAATCGACCGGAAGAACATGGACATTGTAAGGGTAAGGGTAAAGGAGATGAGGACAAAGAAGAAGAAGTTGCCAGGTTCCCTTCGGAGATTGGTCATAAAGTACAAGACCAAATTAGTCGTAATAGCGTTTACAATCTTGTAAGGCATGTCCGTTAACATACTAGCAAAGGCTTCGGCAGATGGGTGGTAAAGGGCGTAGCGCGAATGCTTCTCAACGATCGGACGTTGTGCATAGAGCGTCAGAATTTCAAGAGCAGAACCAAAAGCGTTCATTAGGATGGCGAAGAAGAGTAGAGCTGACCGAGAAAAGAAACTTGCTGTCGTCTCTTTCATGTTGTAGAAGACGGAGGAGACGACCAAAGACATGATCGAGTTTGCGACGACCTGGGTCAGGGTGATAGTAGGGTCGGCTTTCAATCGGATGAAGCCTCGCCACAAACAAAGCTTGACTTGATCCACATAGGTGAGCGTGTAAGGCGATGCCTCGCGTTGGCCTTTTGCCTTTTGAAGCTGGCGAGACTCCTTGAAGCGCTCGCTGGCCTCACCACCAATGGGGTACTTCTGCTCGTAGGCCTCGATTTCGCGAAGCAGAGCTGCTCGGTCAGGAGACTCGAGCCAGCGCTGTGCAAACTCATCAGGAGTGCATGGGACGCGGCCCTCGAATCCTTGGCGGACAATGCGCTCCAAGGGGCTGGTCATGGATGTCAGGAAATCGGCGTCAGTCTGGCGGTCCGGGCAATGGAAGCCCATGTTTACGAAGTAAGCCTTGGCTTCTGATATCCTGCCAAAGTAGATTTGACGGCCCTCATAGAGAACAAGGGCCTTGTCAAAAAGATCATAGGCAGACTGAGGAGCCTGGTAAATGGCGACGCAAGCAGTGGTGCCATTGATCTCACTCTCCATGCGGAGGGTTTTGCAGAACTCGATGGCGTTTGCAGAGTCAAGGCCTCTAGTTGAGTTGTCCCATGCTTGTAATGGTGCTCGGCTGAGGGATGCCTCAGCAATAGTGACACGCTTGCGCTCTCCACCAGAGACACCACGGATAAAGTCATTGCCAACACGTGTGTTGATGGTGTGGGAAATGCCGTACAAAGCCATGATGACGTCGCGCTGGTGCTCAGCGTATGTTTGCACGCTGACGCCACCTGGGATGTGTCTTGGGCGACGAGCTTGAGCAGCAAAGTAGAGCGTTTCCCCGACAGTCATCTGAGGGAAGTGAACATCGACTTCGGCTGTGTAGATGGCTTCACCGCGGTAGTTCTTGTTCATGAGCTCTGGGCTGATGCCTGTTGGTTGTGAGCAAAAGAGAAAAGTGGTGGTGGAATTGAGCAATTGCAAACTTACCCTGATAGTTGATCTTTGAATTTTGATCGACGAAGAAACCGTGTGTCTCGCCAGTAATGGTTTTCAAAAAGGTCGAGCAACCGGATCCAGGGGGTCCCAGCACGACTAGCATCTCACCCGCCTCTACCAGGCCATCCAAGTCTCGGAGAATGTTGATCTTGCGACCCTTGTCGCCTCTGATTTTCTTATAAAGGCTGAGGCCTTCGAGCCAGATATTACCAACACTCTTTTGAAAATCTGCGTCGGTACCGAAACCATGGACATTGAGGTCGCGGAAGGCAATACCAGCGGTTCGAATAGGTGCAGCGTTCTCATCTGAGAGCTGCAGGTTGAGCATGGCTTTTGTCCAAGCGCGAGCGTTGAAGTTTTCTCCATGGGGATCTAGAGCGGAACCAGGGGCTGCGTTGAAAGGGTTTGCTTGTGACGAGGATTGCTGACTCTGGACTGTGAGGCGTCGAGCGAGTTGGTGAACTGCATCTTCTCTCCTATTGGTTTCTGCGATTTCCTCGGCATCACGGATGTTGTTGGATGACTTCTTGTGGTCTGGGTGGTGGTTTCGAGTAGGCGAGCCCTCTCGAGCTGCTATGGTAGAGGCGTCTGATTCGGACGTCTCGTGATCCCGGTCATGGTCATGGTGTTGCTGTTGTTCACTCATGATGGGCGAGGTATCGCCACTCAAGGGCCAAAGGTAGTCGATGAAAGGTTGTGAGCAGAGCAAGGCTGGACAAAGGTATTAAAAAGAAGGTAGTAAGATAAGAGGAAGGGGCCCGGACGAGTGGTGGGAATCGACAAGGGGAGACATGTATGGTACTAGAGCTGGAGGAGCAGCTAATAAGGCTCCGCCCTAGTAAAGGATTCAGCGTACCGGGCTGGGCTAACGTATGCACCGTATCGGCCCCGGGCCACCAAGCCGTTTTGGGTGCAAGCGAGCATTTGGTAGTCTGTTGTCGGACCAATTGGACAGGCAGCTCTACGACAAACCATGTTTTCCCAATGTTACACACTTGGCACCGCCCGTTGAGCTCGCTCCCTCGGACAAATTGCGCATGTGCCTGTATGCCATGCTTCCGACATGTTCGTGCGGCTCTGGTATCGATGTCCCTGCCGTCTCCCTGCCGCGCGAGCGGAAGAATAATTGCACCATGTTCGTATCTGTCTATGTTTGTTGACGACACGGGTATCCGCCACCAGAGGCCACTTTCCGCTACGATTTGTCCGGCTAGCGGTGTAGCACGAGAGATTGCTATCGCATGGCCAAGCCCTTACCGAACCTAAGGGGGAAAAAAACAAAGCTTCATGGCAGCACCGTATACGGTGTATTTTACGTGAGCGGGTTGCGCCACAAGTGCAGGAGCTGGGCGCCTCAAGGCTCGCTTACTCGAGTGAAGAGCATGACAGGTGCTTATCCGCATGGCATTGTCCATGTCTTCGCTTTGCTTGAGCAATTGGTGAAGCCATTCGCATGTGCATGGGCAGTGTCTTGGGCGGTTCGTAGTCGGAGTCGTAGTCGGAGTCGGAGCTCCAGCTCCAGGGTCACGCAGGCAAGCATTCGTGGCGGACGAAATTTGGCAGCGATATCAGCTGGGGTGGAGACAGAAGCGATTCATGGAGGGAATATGTCTGGGTAATAGGTCGGTGCAGAGTGCCGTTTCCGGGTCGACCTGCGTGGCGGCTCCGGGTATACTATTACTGCGGTATGCCTGGTACGCTGGTAGTGCGCTACGGAAGCGGATGTCGCTCGTCCCGGTACACACAGACGCCTTGCATCACTGTGCATGCTCGACACGACTCCCCTCATCAGCCCTATCACCCTCCCGGCCAGCTGTTGAACCGCTTCCAGACGCAATCGATTGTTCCATGGCCCCATGGCCCCATGTCCATCTTTCCCGGATACTCAAATGCCGTATCCGCCGGACCAAGCCAACACCAGCAATGCTGCCATGACTCCAACACATACATGTCTACTACGTGTACACTGCCATAACCGGCACGGCACCGTCTGACGCTCCATGTACATAATCACCTAGTGCCTTTCACCGCACGCCGTACGCTCCGTATTCCGCTCTACTGCTTACACTTTATATTATCAGCTACTAACTTCTCGCCCCACGATAGTGCAACATGTCACTGCTAGCCCGAGACATTGCTTAGAGCTGACATAGGTCTGCCCTAAACCACCCGCTGATATCCTCAAATACATAAATTCCCCGTCTTTCGACCTTGGCCAACCCGGGCTTATGCGATTCCAAGTGAGTGATGAGACAAAAAGAGCACATTTCCGTTCACAACACAACACCTCGAGGACAAGCCATGTTTTTTTTATAGACAAACCCAACACTGTCAATGCGCAAGGCGATGAACACTAACCAGTCGATCCGACGATGGCTGGGCTCTGCTGCCGAGCATACTGCGACAACGCGCGCAAGGGGACGTTGGATTGTTTATAATGGCCCTTCTTCGGTACCGGCAGTCCCGCGACTCTTGGTTTTTGCGTTGTACAGAGGTGTCTAGTGGTAAGATGCAGGGCACCCCTAGGAGCCTAACAACTGCAATGCACGCATCTATATATCGTGAAAAAGCGTATGTATATACCTAACAAAATTCTATAAGTAAGCCAAAAAAAGCAACACTGCAAGCAGCGCCATCGCATAGAAAAGATCTACATAGCGTAGTAGTATGATCACCCTAGCAAACAGGGTAAACCCCAAAGGTACTACTGGTACTACTCTAGCAGCTAGGATACCCAGAGAATCACCACGCACGGAGTCGCCCCTACATTACGATGGGGCTGGCACTGGCACTGGCACTTGTTACACATACACTAAGTATACTTCGGGGTTCCCGTCTAGCCCGTTTTCACCATGCCTCTAGTGACGTCGAGCAGGAAAACCATGTCGCTGCAGATGAGTACCAAACCCAGCATGCACCTCTTCATGGACAAAAATATCCGGACAAAATACCGCCCCCACCGAAACTCCCGCGTACAACACCAATACGATGGAGACCACGTACCGCCGAATCCGCCGACGATAAACTCTACACAGTATGATCCTCCGCCTATGAAACATGATCTCCAACCGCCCAGCTTCTTTGCATCGAGCTCTGAAACTCTTGTTCTGGCTATTCTCACCGGAACAAGACGTGACAAGAACAAGCAAAGACAACACGGGACAGATAGCTTCCGACACTATCCGCTCCGAAGTGTCAGCCAGCTGCTGCTGCAAACAATCTCTTCGACATCCCACAACTCACCATGACAAAAATAATAGCTTGCCAAAACCCCAAGCGTTTGCGAAAGCATCAATAGCAGCGCATTAACCTTTGCACTGATGCAACGTCAATCACTATATACGCGGGGTGGGGTATCCTGTACCCACATGTCTGTCAAAACCCTAATCGCAAAGGCTAATCTCACCCCTCATCTTCACAGAATACACTATCGCATCCATTTTATTTCCACAAAGAAATTTCACATCCGTATCGTAAACACCGTTACATCCACACCTTCCGCCTAAACAACAATCCTGCTTTGTAAAGACTATCACACGCACTTCATACGCCCAAACAAGACAACCCACATCACAAACATTACCGATCACAGATCGCAGATCATACTAGATTACAATCACACCCACTCCACCCAGATAAGCAAAAGGCCCCACATCGCAACGACCAAAGTACCCCATGACTTGAAATGCCATATATCCTCTCTCGCATCATACATACCCCCTCACAAAATCGCGATCGGGATCGGAGCAGCATTCCCAGCCCGCAGCCTGACGACCACCGTACCAGAACATTTTGATAAAAAAAAAGTTAGATTTAGTACTTGCTATTTTATCGCCTACGAAAAAAAAATAAACTCTGACCAAACTACTTTGCACTCCTTAGCAACAAATATACCAAACCCCCCCCCCCCACAAAAAAACGTGCACTGTATTTCTACACATCACTCCGTTTGTCCACTACCCCACTACAACCACTCTCTCAACGCTACCTGCATCACGAACCCTAGTCCTGTTTGTTTGTAATTCTTTTTTCTTCCCTTTTTTTTTCCATTTCTTCAGATTATCCAGCATAACTGGATCGAAGCCGCCGTCGTCGCCTCTTTCAAATCTCTCGCAGTTGGCATCACGAGAGCGAGAGCGAGAAAGAGAAAGAGAGAGAGAGAAGAGGGGGGGGGGGGGACGGCGGGAATCAGTTTCGAGAAAAGCCTACAATAAAGCTTATAAAGTAGCATCCCACCTCTCCCTCCCCCTCCCATGTGTTATCGTGATGGGATGCCCATCAAATCGCGTAAGAGTTCCGCAAAATGGTGGTTCTCGGGGGAAAGGGTCAGCATTGGTGTATGAACCGCGGCGCCCTCTCAAACGATGGCGCATTTTTGCCTTGTTTTAAAAACTCCGTGTGTAGTAGTAGTAGTGGTGGTGGTAGTGAGTGCCCAACTCCGACTGGCATGTATAGAGGGTAGGTGTTAGAGAAAAGATTCGTGAAGAAAAAGATAACAATCCATAAATGACTAGAACAAAACAATCTCTATTTCATCTAGCTTAAGAGAAAAAAAAACTACCATCCCGGCATTCACATACACCTACCTAACCGTTTCAACGTTGCCAACCCTCACCCTATTCTCATCTCCTCAGAAAAAAACCCTCCCAACTTGCTCATCACCAAATCCTCTTAGCAACCATGGCATACCGACTAACATGCCCAAAACCCGTCCCCCTCTCCTTCTCCTCGGCCTCCTTCTTCCGCCCCTTCTCATCTCTCTCCCTCAACCGCCTCAGCCCCTCGGCATCATCCTCATAAATAACCTTCCGCTTCTCCTCATCCACATCAACGACGCCCCACCCCCCAATCCGCTTGCCTCCTGTCTCCACATTCATCTTCTCGCGCTCTTGCATGCCGCGGTACCGGTTGCGGCTGACAGATAAGAGAATCATGCCGAGGAGCAGCTTGAAGGCGAGGAAGAAGAGGTAGATGACGAGGAAGACGATGAGCATGGTGGAAGCGGCAATGAGGTCGTCAATCGTGTAGGAGAGGGGGTGGTACCAGGGTTTTGAGGCGAGGCCGGCGCCGAAGGAGGAGCGGCCGAGGGCGCGGCGGAAGACGTGATCGATGTGGGCGAGGGCCGCGGTAGTGGCGGGTGAGGAGGATGCGGCGTCTTCTGAGGTGAGGGATGTGGTTGTTGCGTGCAGGGGCGGTGGCATGTGTAGTGCGATGAACATGTGGTAGGTTTGGATTGCGGCGCGTACGAAGAGGCAGGAGAGAGGGATTACGGGGAGACCGAGGCGGCGGGTTAGGTCTGCGTCGGCGAAGGCCTGGGTGGTGTTAGTTGATTTGTTTTGTCGAAGGAAAATGGCAGAGCAGATTTCTTACATTTGAATAATAATCTTTTGCGAGTACATCAAAGAATTTACTGTACACCTCGGGCTTGTACTGGTTGAACTTTGTAATGTACGCATGTTTCAACCAGTCTACAAACATCTCACTGCCTAGCACCAGCAAGAACGGGTTGAGCACCTGAGCAATGTACTTGGGAAAGATGGTAAAGCTCATAGGAATGATGTTCGATGCCTTGAAAGCCGTTCCAGCCGACGCGTTGGCAGAGCCCGTGAACATGGCCGTCCATGATGTTTCGCTGCTCTGGATACTGAGACCACCGACTTCGACTACGTTGCGCATGGCAATAATCAGCAGCATGAGCCACAGTTGAAAGCGTTCAACAATGTCTGCGCATGTAATCTGAAAAAGGTTCTCCTTCTCAAACTTTTTAAATACCGTGCTCTTGATCTCCACAAACTGATTCGACATAAGCAGTGTGAGTAGAGCATTCGAGTACGAGTTCACAGCTACGTTCAGTGTGATGACCTGATAGAAGAGAGCAGTAGCATGTGCCACGGTGTACACAAGGGCAAGTGAGAACATGCCAAGTGGACGAAGCACCTTGCTTCTGCCATCAGGATTTCGATCAAGCGTTTCGCGGGAGAAAAGACACTCGAGGACGTCCTGACCCATTGCAGACAACAAGCGGTCGCAGACCTCGAGGACATTGTAGATGACATAGAGCTTGATGGCCGACTGCCCTCGAATGCCGTGGTACATCCGGCTTGCATCGAATCGCATCAAAACAAAACAACTCGCAATGACCAGTAAGCCTTTGAGTATATCCGCCTTGTGACTTGGTTGGAGCGTAGACGGTGTTGACTTTGTGCGGCGATGACGAAATCGCGAGTTTCGGGGTCGTCGCGCTTTCATCTCTTTGAGTTCTTTCAGGTCTGGAAACTGGAAGCTCGTTGATGCGCGAGAATCCTGCCTAGCTGTCGAGGTAGCAGACGGCCTCCGCGACATGGATGGAGGCTCCTCTTCAGCTGGAGTAACAAGAGGTGTGGGCCCATCAACATGCTTTCTCCGTTGCCATAGACGGGGTAGACCATTATAAACGAAAGCCCATAGATCACGAAATTCTTTGACGATAACTGAGCCCCACCACTTGATCAGGATGCCAATGGCAAGAAGAAAGCGTAGCGGGAGGATGGTCAAGACATGCATCCAAGCATCCAAGCAAGCAAAAGCGCCGAAACCTAGGATGATTTCAATCTTCAAGGGTATCCTCAAGAAATTGAGCAAGCGCTCGTATTTGATCTCGGAAGATTCATAAGGAAACTCGGTGGTAGCAGGTCTATAAATGTACAGTGGAGAGGGACGGGTCGCAGAGAGCTCAAGCGAGAGGAAGGTGGGCATTGACATTGGAGGCAGTGGAAGAGCAATTGCGGTTGGCGAGACGTGGTCACGCACATCGCGCGGCTCTCGGTGTCGTTCGTGGCCTTTGGACACGGCGTCCTTGTGCTGCATGTCCAGTGGTGGCGGCACGTGTCGACCTTGCCTCCGCTCCTCTCCTTCTTTTGTATGGTTGTGTGCTCGCGACCGTGATCTTGAAGTGGTTCTCCGCACGACTGCAGGTGTGGTTATGGACCGCGATAAGGGTACTGGTCGGCCATTGCGCAACTCGGTAGCAGGGGTTTTAATGACAAGTGTCTCTTTCTCTTGAGTCAGCTCCCGACCTCGTGAGGCGTGTTCCTTGCTGCCATCGTGTCTTGTTCCATTGAGTTCTACAGGTCGGTCTAGGACCGAGCCCCGTGGCTTATTGTTGCCCTGATCATCCATATTCTCTAGTGATGTTGCGTCCTCGAGCTCGTCCTCGGGAATTGGCGTCGCTGCCCGCACAGGGATACTCGATGGCTCGCTGGTCAGCTCATGAATCTGGCGGGGGCTGAGCTTAAGCATCTTATCGTGGTCCGATACACTGCTCTTTCGCCGCCCATCTCCAGGTCGTTTGATGGGCCGGATTTTCTCATTGGTGTCGGACTGGATAGCCTCTTCATGAACGCTGGGCCTCCTGCTTGTCGCGCGTGAACCGACAGCGCTGTTCGTCTCCTCCTTGGCGCCGTTCACTGTGTTTAGCGACATCTCTTCGTTCTTCGCTTCTTCATGGTTGCGGCGATCGACCGGAGGTGCCACATCATCTGCTTCTGGTTCGGGTGACGGCGTGGGTGTGGGCAGTAGCTGTTCCCTCGTGTTCAATTCACCGCGTGTCCGTGTGTCTGCTCCGTTCATGGCGCATAGAGCTGGCGTCTCTTTGCGAGTGCATCGTGTCCTGTGAGTGGTGACGTTGGGGTGTACCAAACGTCCCAGAGCTCGGGCATGGGGCTTAGCGTACCTGCCAAACCGAGGAACCCCAGATCATCCCATTGCATTCACCCTCTGAATGCCCATGGAATAGTTCAGCAGCAAGTCACATGGTGATATCTGTATCACTCTGATAGTCGTTGATTTAAAGATCGGACCGTGCTTGTTCATTTTCTTCCGTGTTTAGCAAGAAATTATTACACTCGGAACGGAACGCTCCGTGTAAAAAAGAACAGCATTTATTTCAAAACTCGAGCAATACTGTGCCACACATGTGTGCATAGGTTAATAAGCCAAAGCTTGTAAGGAAAATTCAGCAACCGGAACTGTCGTGCCGAATCCTTCAACTCAATGCTCAGCTTTTCACAAGGACTGTGGATACCACTGAGTCGGACATCCGCACCCTCGACACGAGGCTCGGAGAAAAACAAAAGTACGCCGACACCCTCTTGGATCCAGGGCCCTCCCCCCCTTTCGAGTTTAGGGCTGCTCGCAAGAGATGTGTATGGCTTGGCTATGAACTATCCGACAACGGCGACTCCAACCGCGTTTGTTTTCTTTTTATTCTCTGGGGGGTGACTCTTCCCCGTCTTTTTCAACAGGAAAAAGCAAGAAATGCGTATGAGGTGTGCAGATCCGGCTTGAAACTCTCACCGATGAAGGCAGGTATTGGTCCTTTGAGTGGTGGAATCTGTAGAAAAGGGTGGCATAGTCCGTTAGCACTGCTATGCATGCAATGCAGGGCCAGGATATATTTGTATTGAAATTCGTTTGCAAGAACAAGGAGGAAGAAATCCAAGACTTGGGAAAAGTGCAGTTGTTACTATTTTTTGCGGTGTGAGTGAGAAAGGGATACGATAGCGATCTACCGAGCATGGTTGAGTGTTTGATCGTCTATCCTTCTTCCTTCTCATCTACACAAACCATACCATATGGAAAGACATACCCTCTCGCCTCGCTTTGAGATCGACAGAGTGTGTAAGCACTACACCATCCAGCGTCCCTGTACATTCGTACCTTTACTTTGTAAAAAAAATATGCGATAGATGCCCAACTGCACACCTGCCCGTGATCCCTGACAAAAGCGGGCAATCGTCCGCGCATAAACCCCCTTGCCATGGCATATACTCGAGGCATACCATTGCAACACCAACACGACAGAGATTCACACCGCTACCACCACTTCCCAGAGATTAGCGTGGGGGCCGATCTTCCAATGGGACATTGCATGTGCAACAAGTTGCTTTCTCGTGGCACACAAGGATCGCAATCCTGCTGTGTATTGCGCGGAACTCGTGTCGTGCCTGGGATAATCCTACCCTAAGCTTACGTGCATGAGGACAAAAGGGCGGGAATATGCGGTGGAATCCGTATCGGGATCAAGGCCTCACGTGGATCGTCGCTTTGCCAAGCGGAAATGAGAGCATCTTACTTGCTGTGCTTGACTACCGATGATATCGGCTGCCAACTTCCGTTTCAGCTGTTGCAGCCACGGGGGACGGGCTGAAGGAGAACGTCTGTTTTGTATATGCGCGCAAAGGGTCTCTTCCGACGAAGCCGGCTACTTTTTGACCTGGGGCATCCGGGCCTCATGGGCTAGGCTCTCGCGTATGGATTAAAGCTTTGGTGGGTGTATCGTTCCGGCGGCGCTACGTAGCCTGTGGCCTGCAGGGTGGGGACTAGACCCGGGGTTTTAGCGACGGGTGTCTGGGTCGGGAGAGAAGGTCTCAGGATGCAGATAGAGGCGTTAATGGCGTATGGTGGGCCATTGAGTTGCTGTCACATGCTAATCAGTCAGACGTTGTGTAATATCAGAGCAAGGCTGCAAGCTGCATGGGAAGCAAGAGCTAAAGCCAATCAAGATTGCAGCTGACGGCCAAGGATTATCAACGCCATGCTGTCGCAGACTGGGGAATGAGATGTCAAGTGATGCATGTTGCAAAGGGGGTTTGATGGAAACCTTACTGGGGCCAGCCACGCGGAGAGCTCGTTTGAGCCAGCGGACGCTTACATGTAAGTGGTAGCAAGGTTAGAAACCAGACGACCGGGTCCAAGCGAACCACGGCGACCAGGCATCACGGCACTGCGAGAATGGGGGTAATGTGTGGCTTTTTGGCAGCGGCCTCAACCGCGAAGAGCTGGCAACGGGCATGTGCTTGGTGGGTGGCTCATTACTGGCAACAGAGGTGGTTTATACTTGACGCACAGGCTGTGGCGCAATTGAGTATAGGGGGCGTTGGAATGGTGGGTTTAGTGAAACGAATCGTGGGCCACGACAGATGGTTAGCCCTTTTTTTCAGAAGATAAAGTGCTGTTAGGGCCGATCTTGAGCATTTTTCAAAGTCGGCAGTACGAGGCAGCGCACGCAGGGCGGACAGAAGAGGGAATGAGCTTATGCACGTGACAGCACACATTAGGTAATGCCGATGGATATGGGTACTGAGACACGTATGTACCTGTGTACTGTAACTAAGCAGGTGAAAGGGGGAAGTTTTCTAGAAGGTGTCAGATGGCCGACTAGGGTTTGGTTGGGCGGGGCGTGAATGGGACGTGTGGCACGAGCAAAGCGCAAAACGAACGGGCTGCACAAGGTGTCTCTGGTCGGGGCTTGCGGCAGGCTGTGTGGAGAGCTGTGGTGCTACTGGCGATTACTGTGTACGCTTGATTAGCCGGAAGGGGCAAGACCAGAGGCAGATACTGGTAATATGGTTTGGGGTGGATAGTTGGAACCGAAAGAGTTGGGGGGCAAGGTTTTGGCAGTCGCACGAAAATGTATCCTTAGGGCGGTGGCGACTTTTGCAGCTGCTATGGCCGTAGCCGTAGCCGTAGCCGTAGCAGTGGGAGACGACGACAGTGCGGATGTGGGCTCAAAGGGCAAGGGCCAGCCAGGGCCACAAGCTAGCGCAGGTCCTTGCGGAGAAGGCGTCGGAAAGCAAGGCGAGCCAAGCCAGCATGTTCTGGAGAGTGGGAAGCTTGACAAGACACGTTTTTCTTGTGTGCGCTTCTCTGTCTGTTGTCAAGACAGACCAGATGGCCGGGCGAGCGGGACAAAGGGGCGCCATGGAGGCTATTTTATGCACGCTGTTCCGATGCAGCCGTAGGCAGCCAAGAGCTTACTTACGGAGACGCCGTGACGGGTGGTGAGCTGACGGTTCGGTAGGGTGCGAGTGCGTAAGTAAGTAGGTACTTAGCACTTGGATACGGCTGCGGGCAGCAGAAGGCGGATGGAACAAGTTTGGAAGCTTTTGCAGAGACCCAATCGGGCCTTGCTCCACCCAGCCGTGGGTGGGTCGTCAAAGCGACGGAGTTAGGAGAGGGGGACAATATCGGCGAGACCTGCCGCTTGTTACAGGTAGACCTATGGGGACCAAGCGCCGGAGTCTACACGTTGGTAGGGCAGAGCTAGGTGTACTCTAGAGTGAGGAACTAGGTGTAGATGGGCTGGCTGCCAATCGATGGCACGCCCATGTGCGAGTGCGAGGACATGTCCTGTTGGTGTGGCGTGTCGAGGGAATAAAGAGGCGTAGCATGTGCATGTATGCGTACGTGGATGCTATACTACTGTACCGGGGGCCATATGTGACATGTGTCGTAATAGAACGTGTAGGTCCATAAGCGCATGCAGATCAGACGGGAAGAGAGCACGTCGTGTCTGCCGTTGTCGTGGATGCAAAGGGGTGATGCTGGGAGCAGGTCCCGTGACGTGCCAGGGGGTGTTTGTATTCACTGGCTTGGCACGACCCAGGCACTGGACCCGCCAGTGTTTCTCCCCCGGCCTTGGGTGCAGCGGGCGGGATATCTAAGTAAGTAAGTGGTAGATGGCATATGTGTGTACATGTACCCAAGTACGTACACTACACCGCCATGACGCAGTGTCCCCGGCTATAACATTGTTGCTGAATCGACATTGTCGCCGCGCAGGCCACCAGGGATAGATAGTAACAGTAGCAGTAGCAGTAGCAGCAGCAGCAGTAACAGCAGTAGTAGTAGCAGTACTAAGTATATATCAGCGTGGACGTGGGCGTGTGTGTGTGTGTGGGTGGGTGGGTGTACTACGTAGGGTAGTAGTGGCTGGCCATGACTAGGGGAGCAGCAGCCGCGCTTGCCCTTTCTGCAGGCAAGGATGCGACTCAAAACGTGCAACCCATGCCTGTGCTCTTGCCCTAGTCCTGCCGACACTAATCTTGCTTGGGCCACGACCTGCGAAACGTGCGCCTGCAAACCCGTCGGGCCTCCTTTCAACTTCTTGTTCATTATCGCTGCGACTCGCCCTTCGACCGCCTGTTGCTTGTACCTTGTGCCTTAATAATCTCCACAAGAACCCTCGCCCGCGGACCTTCCTTCCAAGCACTACTCCTCCGTGCCTGCCGACTGCATCCCTCACTCCCACCCCCGCCTAGTCTCCCTCCCACCCCACTGCGACGCCGCCCCAGTCAGCCCGGACTACTCTATCGACCGCCTGATGCATCTCTAGACATCTACTGCATCTGCCTGTCCGCCTGTCCCTCTGCCATTGTAGCCCCTCATGGGTCAGAACAACGGCAAGCCCGTCGTCTTCACCGACCAAGGTGCGTAATCACCACCATTCCACCATGTGCTGCTCCAAAGAGAGAGAGAGTGCGAGAGATAGAGAGAGAGGTGTGCGGAAAGATGGGAACACAAAAGACGAACAAAAAAAGAAACAGACAAACAAACAAGGAATCAACGCCGGGGGATACCTGTCTGAAGCACGCGAAACTCGCACTCGCACTCGCACAGGCACACATACACGGCTCGTCCAAGTCCTGACTGACATTTCCTGCAGTGAACCTCAACCACTTCCGCCTGCTGCGCGTTGTGGGCAAGGGCGCATTCGGTAAGGTGCGCATCGTCGAGCGCAAAGATACAGGGCTCACATTTGCGCTCAAGTACATACGCAAAGATGAAGGTGTGTACATGCCGTCACACGCTAGCTGCTATCCAGCCATGCTGATCTCGTGTCACAGTCGTACGGTCGGAAAGCGTCCGCAACATCATCCGAGAGCGCCGCATGCTTGAGCATCTCAACCATCCATTCCTTTGCAATCTACGCTACAGCTTCCAGGACATTGAATACCTGTATGGTCAATGCCATTGCTCCCGCCTCCACCAAACCAGGCTGACAAGGACAGATACATTGTTGTGGACCTAATGAACGGCGGTGATCTACGTTTCCACATTTCGCGAAAGACATTTACAGAAGAAGCTGTGCGCTTCTGGATAGCAGAGCTCGGCTGCGCCGTGCGCTACATACACCAGCAGGGCATTGTCCACAGAGACATCAAGCCAGACAATGTGCTATTAGACTCTGAAGGACATGTCCATCTGGCAGATTTCGTAAGCTCGGCTGCTGCAATGCGCCTCGCCATTCGTCTTTGCTGACACGTGCAGAACGTTGCCTCTGATTTTGTACCACACAAGCCGCTGACGAGCAAATCGGGCACACTCGCCTATCTCGCCCCCGAAGTATACGAAGGCAAGGGCTACTCGTGCGAGGTCGACTGGTGGTCGCTGGGCGTGCTCTTCTACGAGTGCATATATAACAAGCGACCATTCGAAGCCAGCAGCCACGACTCCCTCGCCGCCAAAATCTTAAAGGGAGAACCTACCTATCCCGTCACGAGCCCGCCTGTCTCTATGCCGTGCTTGCATGCCATCAGCTCCCTGTTGGAAAAGGACCGAAGCAGGCGCATTGGCGCCATTGGATTTGATTCGTTCACTGACAACCCTTTCTTCCGGCCCATAGATTTTTATGCGCTCGAACGCAAGGAGATTGAGCCGATTTTCATACCTTCGAGCGATAAGACCAACTTTGATGCGACGTACGATCTCGAGGAGTTACTGCTTGAAGAAGCGCCGCTTGAGGCCCGTGCCCGCCGGCAGAAACCACGAGAAGCTCTCAAGGAAGATGCTACAGAACAGGAGATACGCGCCGACGAGCTGCATAGGATGATTGAGACGCTGTTTGAGCCTTTCAACTACACGACAGCCGGTGATCAACGGACTCCTGCTGCTGTAGCAGTTGCTGACCCCCAAGATTCTGGCGCTGGCTCACGAACCAGCAACCACAGCCAACCCGACCACCACCCCACCTCTGCCCCGTCTCAAGGCGATTCTTCTGGACGTCACTATGCCAACTCCAAGTCTCAAGACACCGACCTCCACCCCACCCGTTCCACTACTACCGCACGATCGACACAATCACCAAATGGCAGTCCACCCCTGCCGACGAGTGTACTGCAGCACACTGCCAACACTAGCTCACCCACGTCGCAACGTGGTGAGCACGTTGACTACTTCCCTCACGACGGCTCCGAAGTCCCCACCCCCTCGTTCTCCCGCCCTATGAACAGCCGCCAGCGAGGCTCCCAACGCAGCACAAGTATGGGCGGAGGTGTACAGGTAGTTCTCAATGAGACTGGTTCATGGACCGAGATGGCTAACCAGAGCTCCGCGCTTGTACAGAACGCCCAAACTGAGAAACCATCCGGCATGCTCGGATTCCTCAGTCGCAAGAAGGGCCGGGACAGGAGTCCCAAGGCCAAAGAGAGGGGTGTTCTGGGTAAAGAAGGTGCGCGAGTCATCATCAGCAATACCTGAACAACCTCACTCCTTGTTTGTTTTGTACGCATCACACACTACCGGCTCTCTCACTCTGTTTTCCCAACTATTGAACGAGTCCCCTTGCGTCATCATCATCATCTCTTTCGATTCACGTCGATGTTTTATTTGGCGGGCGCAGCATGCTGGCGTCTTCCCTGGGGCATGAACTTTTTGTTATGCCCATCTTCTCTCACCAAACGACCTTTTGCGACGCCCCGGGCCCTTTTATATACGCGGCCCCTCCTCCTCTCTTAACTTTTGTATTGCATCAACATTTTGCATGTTTCCCACCCTACCCATCCACATTTTTCCTCAAGGCTGGAGAGGGGAAAAAGGGTGTGTGATATCTGGGCGCTTGTAGGCTTACGCTGATTTGCTAAAATGCTGTTTTCCCTCCCTATCTATTTTTTTCTTCTTACATTCATACGGAAGTTGGAGATGGAGAGGAAGAGATAGAAAATGGGGGGAAGCAAAGCGAGCAAATGGCTTGAAGAAGCTATATGTTATTCCTCGACCCCCGCGATTTTTGAGACGAAAGAAACGGCAGATATAGATGGAGGGGGTGATGGTGGTTGGTGGTGATTGGTGATGGAACTGGAATGTTACGAGGTGACAGATCAGTCTCAACATTACCACCGCCACTACCGCCACTATCCCGCCGCTCCTGTAATTTTTTGTTATCCTTTTCTTTGGTTCCGCTGGACGCATATGAGCGTAAAAGAAGTTAATTACGCTATGGAAGGCACACGATGTACGCGCTCATGTCTGGGGAAGTTTGTCTATTTTAGCTGTGTGTTTTTGTTGTTGTTGTGTTGGCTTGTTGTTGGGCTTTGAGGAGATCCGACAATACGATGGCTTTTTCTTTCCGAGAGGGGAGAAAATGCAGCACATGTTACGGAATGAGAGGATGTGTATGCGCTGTGGGAAGAGAGGAAGTAAGAGAGTGACAGACGATCAGAAAGATGGATGAAGTCTGGATTTACATAACTTTGGCAAATACCCATGTATTTTTTTACACCCTTTTGTTCTTCTTCTTCTTCTTCTCCTCTTCGTTTCATGTGTCTTATCATCTCTGTTGAATTGAACAGTCATGGTCATGTAAATAATAGACATCACACACAACATTACAGCATTCCTATCGAATCAAAACACAAGACACACACACAGAGAGAGAGAGAGAGAGAGAGAGAGAGATTTGGGAGAAGAAACGTAGATAATTTCGGGTATCGAGTGTTAATAAAAACGCCATCTTTTTATCTTCTTCTTCTTCGTCGGTCTCTTCCCTTGTTCCCCACGGTCTCGGCGAACTTTACCCTTCTTGATAAACCAACCTCCCCCCCCCAAAAGTAAGTAGAAATGTGAAAATACAGAGAACCCCCAGAACAAATACCAATAATATCGACATCTATATCAAACAATGGCGAGACAACGACAAAAGAGAGGCCATGAATTTGAATTTCAATTTCAATTTCACCTGGGCTTGATACTCGACCTAGCAAGCCACAAAGCCACACTCTCCTTTGCAACATCACTGCCCCAAACCCCATCCGCACCACCGCGCCTCCACTCCTCGCCTGAGGCATCCTCGCCACCACCACGCGTAGCCTCTCCAAGTAAGACCTCGAGATCGCGCTTCTGGCTCGAGAGCCAGCGCTTGAAGAAAGCAACGGGGTCTTTAGACATGCTGGTGAAGAAAGCGTGTTTAGCTTTAGACTGGCCGATCGCACCCATAAGCAACACGAGTTGCTCGTCGATTTTCTGGATTTCTTGGAGCGTCTGAATGCTATCGGGCCGGCGGAGGATGTCTTGGAAGAGGGGCTGCATGGGGTCTTCGAGGGCAACTTGGACGTCGTAGACGCTGGGCTGGGATGCCGGCTTACCGGAGTCGGCGGGTGGGGAAATGTAGTCCTTGTCGACGCGGATGGTGTATTGGAGCTGGATGGGCGGGAGGGTGGTGAGGTGGGGCTTGATGAGCTGGGGGAGGTTGGGGAAGAAGAAGTGATCCTGGCCACCGAAGAGGGCTTTCAGTCTGGCGTCGCAGGCGAACTTGCGCTCGTCGTCTTCTTGCTGCAAGTGCTGTGACCGAGCATACTCCCAGATGCCCATCAGCACACCTGCACGGTCCTCCTCGTCGGTGTCGAGCAGCTCGGCCAGCGGTTTGCTGAGGCGGAAGACCTCGGGATTTTGGTATCGCTGGAGGTTGATTGTGATGTTGATGTTCTCGTCACCCTTGCGCTCAAATTCGATTTCGCTGAAGTTGGCTTCCTTGGCCGTCGGGTTCTCGGGTCGCTTCCATTCGATTTGCGTAAAATTGTCGGGTTGTAAGCTCTTGGCGCGGTCAAAGTCGATATTGATGGATGTGAAGTAGTGCGAGAAGAGCTTGGGTTTCGTGGCTGGCTTGCGCTCGGCCTGGGCGCTGTCTTCGACCCTAGTCGCTTGTTAGTCCCAATCTGTGTAAATGTTTTTTTGCGCGCTGCTTCAGAGGCGCAAACGGTGCATGCAGGGCCGGAGTCGCAAGCTCGGTTTGACGTACATAGCATCAGCATCCTTGTCTTCGTCCTCATCATCCTCGAGACCGTCGTCGCCTTGCTCGTCAAGCAGGCGTCCCTGGATCTTGACGCGGTACGTGGCGTTGTTTTCGCTCTCAAAGTCAAAGGCATCGGCGTCGATACCGCTGCTCTGCCAAGGCTGGTTTTCGGCCGTGTTGGATATCCATATGCGCATGGTTCCATAGCGCGACGCTCGCGAGTGGTGCTTCGAATCCATAACATCGAGCTTCTTGCGCATCATGGTCGCGTCGAGAGTGCGCTCAACCTGGCGCAATTCCTTGTACCGGGCGACACCGTCGCCGATGCACACGTCCTCCACGCCCTCGGGAATGTTCTTGTCGGTAGGGTTCTTTGCAATGCGGCGCATCTTCTCGCGGCGCTCTGCTTCGGCGCGCTGCGAAGCCTGCATGCTGGCGCTGGTGTTGTACTGGGGCTGCTGGGGCGGGTGCTGGGGGTGGACAATGGGGCCTGGGTTGCGAAACAAGTGAGCGAGGTCGTTCCTGCTAATCATCGTCTTGTAGGGATTTGGGGCGCAAGGGCAGAGACAGGCGGCGGGGGCAATGGGGGCGTCTTGTGGCAGCGGTGGTGGGCACTCTGGGACTTACCTGGCCGGCGTGAGGGCGTAGCCGCATTGTGCTGTTGCGGATAATTATATCCCCGTGCCTGGTAGTTCGGCTGCATGTTGGAAAGAGGATGCAAAAGATGGACGGCAGCAAAATTGGCGATGCGGGCGCGTCAGTGGAGATGGAAGGGTGATAGGGATGGTCACGTCTTTGAAGACGCGTCAAGGTTGGTTTGGGGTCTTTAACACATGCTGCACGGATACCACCATTACTAGCTCCCCCTATGGACATGCGGGGCAATCATTCTCCCCCGCCCAGCCAGAGAGGCGCCCCCGACCTCGTGCATTTGTTCCTTTTCAGCCTTGTCCAGCCCGGGTACAATTGTTTACGGGACATCTGCAGCTGGCCCTCGCATAGTCTGCTTTGCTGCTACGGGACGTTGTCTTCATTCACTGCCCGTGCATTGTGCTTGGCGGCTCATACGTCTGCGTGTTGAAGCCGTGGAAAGAATGCTCTGGGTCCGTTTGGACGTCATCGTACTGGCTTTCTACATCTCATCGGTCTAAAGTCTACCGAACCCAGTCTACCCCTCCAGATACCCCCTTGGGTGCGCAGACGGTGAAGATGCACACGCAGAAAGTGGGCAGTCCACTGAACAAGATCATCAATGTTCGCATACCAAATAAGCCGCCATCATCCCTCTGGGACATTGCTATCCAAGATGGTAGGATAGCCTCCGTAGATGCCCACAATGATGCTTCGTCGCACGAGGAGAGCGAAAATACTCTGGACGGACAAAACCGCCTGCTTGCGCCATCGCTGTGCCATGCCCACATCCATCTCGACAAATGCTTCCTCCTCCAAGACCCCAAGTTCAGCGACCTGCAGATTGAGAGTGGCGACTTCAACGAGGCCATGAGCATCACTGGCCAAGCCAAGTCTCGGTTCGTCGAAGATGATCTGCTCAGGAGGGGCACGCGGCTCATTGAGGAGAGCATCCAACACGGCGTTACTGCCATGCGGGCATTTGTAGAAGTCGACGACATTGTGGAATTGAAGTGTCTGCATGCAGGTCTGAAGCTGAAAGAGCTGTTCCAAGATCGTTGTGAGGTGCAGATATGCGCATTCGCTCAACTGCCACTGTTTTCTGGTCAAGACGAAGGTGCACAAGTAAGGAAATTGATGACCGCTGCCGCCTCTTATGACAAAGTAGACGTGCTTGGCAGCACGCCGTATGTCGAGGACAACGAGCGCAAATCTATAGAAAACGTGCGATGGATCACTCAACTGGCCCTTGAACATGACAAACACCTAGACCTTCACCTCGACTACTTTCTTGAGGAAGAAAAACAACCACTCGTTTGGACCGTCCTGGATATTATCAAACAGCTCAAATGGGATAATAAGGGCAGCAGCAAACAGATAGCGCTGGGACATTGCACCCGGTTGACAAAGTTCCGGAACGACGAGTGGACGCACCTGAGACAAGAAGTGGATAAGTTGCCCGTCTCTTTTGTTGGCCTTCCAACGTCCGACTTGTTCATGATGCGGACTCCGGAGAACATACGTGGGACGTTGCCCATCACAGAGCTCATCAATGAACATGGCTTCAACGCTGCCATTGCTATCAATAACGTGGGAAACGCCTTCACTCCTTATGGTAACTGCGATCCTTTGGTAAGTGCATGGTCTCATATGAATGCAGAAACTCAACACTGATTTTTTCTTTCAGGCTATCGCATCGATTGGGGTTGGGGTCTATCAGGCTGGGACAAAGAGGGATGCTGAGTTGTTATATGTAAGTACCCTGGTGATCTACCAGTAACTTGCCACTAATCATTTCCGCGTATGCAGGAAACCGTTTCTACCCGTGCAAAGACTGCGATTGGATATGAGGCTACAGATCTAACTTTACAGCCTGGACAGCCTGCCGATTTTCTTATGTTTGACAGAATGGAAAGCGGCTGGCACTACAGGAAAAGCATTGCAGAAGTTGTTTACGATGCTGGGCATACTCGCCAGACAGTCTACAGGGGTCGATTGACTGCCTCTCAAGGCTAATAACAAGTCTTCTGTCCAGCTACTACAATAAAACAAATTGACAGCCTCTTTCGTTTCACACGCACTCTGGTCGAGTTGTAGATGACGCTTCGGTATGGAAATTCTGAGTACTGCATCCGTTTGCCTCAAGACCCCTTTCCTCTTTGGGAACGGGGCATCAGATATAGCGCCTTCCTCTTACTCGCCGTGACTGCCTTTTGTCATCCAGTGGGGCCGATCATGTCACACACTGCACAAACAATCTCCTTCACCTGCAAATATCCGCTTACAAACGAACCATCGAGTGAAATCACCGCCACTCTGCGGTGGAAAGCGGTGTGCATGAGGGCTCACGTGTAATTCACCTTCACTTCACCAGGACGCGCCTTCCACTCACGGCATTGAGCACCAAGAATAAAAGATGGTCAAACCAACCCACACAAACACCATTCTGACCCAAAAAACACCACCAGCGCGTTACGACCATCGGTGCGTAGCTGCAGTGCCTGGTCAGGCCGACATGCAGACCTCAACAGAGCACGAAGCTTATCACTCTGCACCTCTGCCACCGAACCAGGAAACTTCAGAGCATCAGATTCCGAATAGCGATGTGCGAGGGCAATCTCAAACTCCGTATCAATCGCCAGCTATCAGACAACTTGTCAGCATATTCCTAGCCAACGTCAAGGTAAGTCGTTGCTGTAAGCAGACATCCATCAATCTCACCATCTCTCAGACTGTGGACTTGGCTAATCTTTGCAGTCTCGATTTGGGGAAGAATCGCATGAGATTATGACAATTTGGAACATCCTCGGTGCATTTCGAGCTGGGAAGGAATCCAAAAAAGACACCCTCATTGCCATCACCCAGGCACTGGGCCACCACAAAGATCTCAAAGAAGATCTCATGAAGATACTGTACCACCCGGAAGCAGAATGGCAGACAGGCGATTTTGAGTTTGAGCCCCATCAACCCATGCACTCACCTACACCTAACTTCTTACAACCGGTTCATCAACCCCAGATCCGCCTACCGCCAATGACGTGGTTCGAGAATAGACAGACCTACCCGTCGATCAGTTCTGGCCATGACCGGAATTGGTCTCCCACCGCACCCAAACTGGAGCTCAATCACACAAAATCTCCGTCCATTCCTTGCTCTGACATTCCTGCCCGTCCCCACCAAAGCCATACGCCCGAAGCAGGGTTTCTGGAGAGAGCATCATCCGAGACAACTAGACTTCCTGTTCTCAGTGTTCCAGTGGCAGTCAATGTTGGTCAGACCGTCAATGATATGCCACCGCCTTCGAACAAGCGTCGACGCGAAGCTTTTGAAGAGCAAGCTTTGCAAGAGGCGACAGATCGAGCGATCTCTGATACCGCTGAGCAGGTCTGCTTATCAACCGCAGATGTGGGCCAACCAGTCGCTAAGCGCCAGTCTGAGAGTACTTCCAAAGTAAAGTATTCGCCAGCTGAGAGCAGATCGAAACCCTTCATTCATGGTCTATGTGGTAGAGGTTTCGGTACTAGGTCAAAGGTCAAGAAACATCATTGGGGAAATGTGCTCAATGATCTGGAGACAACTACAGGCTGTTGGGCGAAGCACGGAAAGCCAAATGTCAGCTGGAACGACCATCCGAGCTGTGCGGAAGGTGTGAAAGTATCCGGTCATGCTAGGACAACCCCGGCCGCGATGGAGAAAGACGAGCCTCGAGCCTCGCCTCACATGACGGCTCCCATGACGCCCGGCCCTGAGGAACAGCCTGAAACCGTTGCGCGTTCTGCTAATCTTCACGAAGATTATCAAGAGGCTTCTCAAGACCGTGGACTGTACCACTCCCATCGGTTACCTAACCGATCCAGTTTCGACACTCTGTTGAGTGCGGTGAACGCCGCCTCTGAAATCGATGCACGGAGCCCGCAAGGGCGTATCGACTCTGTCGTTAATCATATCAGTGGTCAGACTGCTGCTGTTGAAGATACGAGGCAGTACGTAGAGGACTGGCAAAACACAGTGTGGGGCCATGACGAAGAAGCGGCGGCTAGTGGATACCCGCACCCGTATACTACGCTCCAACCCAGCATGATGTATCCGTTGAGGGGATACCATGTGCCCATAGAAGTTGCTCTGCCCTTTTATGGAAGGCCTCAGTCGCACACTCCGCAGTCGCATACTCCGCAAATGTACCCATGTCCTGCAGGAAACTGGATCGACGATCAGTTAACTATGATGGAGGGTGCATACAGCAGCCCCGCGCCTCTGGAGCCGCAGTTCCCTGACCCGTACGCAGGGAGCCGACCAATGTAGGGCGCTTGACGGTCACCGAGGACCTGGACGTGTACTATGTGAAAGGGCCGACATGTATGAAGCGATTTGTTTCCGGGTAACCGGTCCCACCGATGAGACTAGTGCACGACTACAAATGGATGTGCATCAGGGAGTTTATTGTTCAAGTATTATCATGGCCTATGGTAGGCGGCGTGACTAAACCCACTTTTGGAAATGGCTACTACAGAGAGGATCCGGGGCTGCACTTGTACATTTAGGAAGTGTTACAACAATACGAAATCAAATAATCCCAGTCTGGTTCCGATGCTGCAAGGCGAGAATGTGTGTGCTTGGATGCAAAAGCTACTGGGCGGCGGTGATGGTGTTGCGGCGTTATTCCTGTTTGCAGTATGTCATCCCGCCGCTGGGTACTAACCATGTGGCGTGGTCAAGCTTCTGGGTAGCCGGGTAAGTAGTAAGCTCAATGACATGGGTCGCGGCAAGGCCTGGGGCCCCAACAATTCCCCACAAGATTAACCCAGCTCTCCCCATGTTCAGCTTCCTGTCAAGATGCACGCGTCTAAGTTTTTCCGCGACTGTCCACCAATGGTGACTTTTGCCGGTGCCTTTTGTACCGCTGATCCTTGTCCATGAGAGATTATACAGAAGCGGTTGGAGCTATGACGCCCGCGCCTTGCAGCAAAGCAAGGGAGCTACACACGACACGACCTTGGGGATACAGCGCAAATGTGCTGCAATTGAGGGTTACGCAGACGTAACAAGACCATCTTCTCAGTTCAATGAGACCGAGATGGATTGTGGGAAGAAATTGCCAGGCCATATAAGCTGATTTCGTCATCTGTCGGGTTCCTAGGGACTTGCCACGGACATTTTCCCTGCGGGGAAACGCACGTTCGCTAATAGCACTACCAGTAAGTATCCTGGAGCAGTGGCCCGCCCTAACCCAGTGCAATCCCGTTGGTGCTTTTGCCTAGAGGCTGGGGAAGTGAGTGAGCGGGAGAGAATCCTAATTACAAGCTCGTGACCGGTGAAATCGCGCCAGTCGTCGACCCCGTTACTACTATATAAACATGTACGTGCCTCCGTCTTGGAGATCGTCTCCGTCCCCACACCACATCACATCACCTCCACTTCTCAACTCGCTCGAGTTTGACTAGTCACGATGCGGTTCTTGTCGACTCTTCCTCTCTTTGCTGCAACTGCCCTTGCGCAGTACAGCTCTACCAACTCGTCTTGGACTTCGGGCCCTGACAAAGATGGCAAGTACGAGATCTCGTCCGAGGGCATTCGCGCTCTCTTCATTCCCTATGGCGCCTCCATTACCAACTTGTTCATCCCGGGCAAGGACGGTGAAGAGCTTGACATTGTCCTCGGCTTCGACAATGCCACGGCCTACGAGGGCCCTGTTCACCCCCATCTTGGCGGTGTACCCGGCCGTTACGCCAACCGCATCAAGAACTCGACCTTCACCATTGACGGCCAGGACTACCACATTACGCCAAACGAGAACAATGGCGCAAACACCCTGCACGGTGGAAAAGATGGGTGGGACTGGCGCAACTTTACTGTTGTCGCCCATACCAAGGATTCCATTACTTTTTCCATTGTCGATCCCGATGGTAAGGAGGGTTTCCCCGGTGAGGTCATTAGCTACGTTACCTACACCGTGACCCCACACACTTGGCGCTTTAAGATTGTGGCCCTTGCTACCACCAAGAAGACCCCCATTATGCTGACCTCTCACGTAAGTTAGATTGATTAAATCTTTCTTTTTGAACGACTGTTAACAGAGAAAAAAATAGACATACTGGAACTTGGATGGTTTCGCTAACCCCGAGGATTCGACTATTTTCAACCACACTTTCCACATTCCTTATTCGGGCCAGCGCGTCGGTGTCGACAACATCCTCATTCCCGATGGCACCATTCTGCCCAACGAGAAGTACTCTGTCAACGACTTCTGGTCTGCCCCCAAGCAGATCGGCGCCAACCAAACCGCACCCGAGCTCCTCGGTAACTGCGGTTTCAACTGCACTGGCTACGACAACTGCTACCTCGTCAACCGCAGCCCAGCCGAGGCCCTTGACTGGCGCAACTCCGGCCCCGTTGCTTCGCTGGCTAGCGAGTGGTCCGGCATCAAGCTCGACATCTACTCCGACCAACCCGCTTTCCAGATGTACAGCTGCCCCGGTCAAGATGGTAAGTCCAGATACCCTTTTCTTTTTCGTCCAAGTTTCTCTGCATACTAATTGAAACTTCCCAGGTACCCTGCCCATCAAGTCCACCCAAGGCGCCGAGGGCGGCTCCCGTTTCGTTCCCAAGTACGGCTGCGTCGTCATGGAAGTCCAGGACTGGATCGATGCTATTAACCAGCCCGAGTGGCAGCGCGAGAAGTACCAAATATTTGGTCCTGATTCCGCGCCTTACACACTTGAGGCTGCGTATGTTTTCTCTACTACCAAGTAAAGCTGTAAATGCTGTGGGGACTGGGGAATGAGGATATGATATGTTAATGTAATGAGACATGTGTTGCGTGTCCTAATTTTAATATGAAGTCTGATTGGGCTTTACATTGAGTTTCTTGTGCGTTTCTTATTCATGTTGTTGAGGGCTTTGGTGGCGAGTGATGTGATGTTTTACTCTATGCGAGGTGAACCCGTGCTTACTAGTGTAAAACAGCGCCGCGGTTTACTTCCAGAATGCTGAAAGCAACTTCCATATTCTAATTAACCATACTAATCCCTATTTCATTCTTTCGTTTCTATTCTTTCCGAACAGTTCCAATATCAACATACGCTAATAGGGATCGCACTTGTATCCCCGTCCCCTGTTCATTATGTACCATCGCTTCGCCCATTGCCCCTTGCACCACACACACACACACACACACACATGCGATCATTTTCTTTCATCCGCTTTCTACACCGCGCAAAGCGAGGCGCTCTGGGTACACAGATTTACCAAGTGGTAATGTAGAGTCAAAGGAAGAAAGTCGTTGTCGTAGTGTGGTGGCTGATGACGACCATGTTGATATGGCGGTTTACTTCGTTATTGAATTTGTTGGGTACGGGTAGTTTGGGGGAAGAAGCGTGGGCGGTGTAGAATGTGATTGGCGAGTAGGTCGGGGTTTACCTACAGAAGTGATGAAGTTTAGAAAAGCGGAAGTTTTGATGCTGGTAGTTGGATGTGGAGATGATGTGGGCGAGTTTAGGGTGTTAGTTTTTTTTTTGGAGGGAGTGGATTGGGAAGGGTAAGTTGAGGGGGGGAGGGGCGAAGGAGTTGGGAGGCAAAGAGCAACGATTTTTTTTGTGTTGATTATTACTCCGTCTTATCATTGTGGCGTCTGCTTTCTTTCGTATCTTGTACTACTGTGATTTGATCAGTTTTTTAGGCCCATGAAATTTCTAGCGGTTAATTAAGGATGAAACTTACATCCACTCTTGATCCAGTGATTCATATACTTTCTTAATCGATACAGCAGCGCTGCTTCATCCACCACTGGCATTCCCTTTTCAGCCAGTCTACGGTTAGCTTCTTCCACAACATCTTGACGCACGTCTTGGGGGATTTGCGTCCAGTAGCACAAGTTCTTAGTAGGTATCTTGTCGATATGCGCGAGCACCGCCTCACGCAGGAGCTGACGTGGGAATTTTGTCTCGGTGGTTGCCTCCCAGCTGTGGCAGTGTTCGATATCTAGACAAGAATTAGGATAAGCATTAGGAGGCTATGTTGCAGGGCTGAGGCTAAGCTTACCTCGCTTCTTTACTCGGAGTTCGGGTAGACATTTTGATATCCGCCATTCGATTGCTTCGTCGTCAAGGGGTGGAAGCCCTTCTTGGTGAAGTACAGATCTTATTCTGTCCATCATTTCTTCTTTTTCGGGCGGACTGATGTCGCTCAGTTTGGCTCCTGCATAGTCTTGGCAGACTGCTAGGGAGATGCGCTGGACGCTGGTTAGTCTTCAACCTCGACAGCACGTGATGCATGGGACCATGACAAGGCGTCCCATGCGAGAGGATATACATACTAGGAATATGGGCCATTGCTGATCCGAGAGGCCCAACAGTTTTCTCACCTGGTCCCGCTGCATCCGCCGCGGAATGGGAGTCGCGGTGCGGGCCTTTGCCGCCCATAATATTGCTGTAATCCTCATGCTGGCCTAGGGAGACACGTGCGGGGATATCGAGGGTGGGCTGCTCGCAACATGGCGCGCTATGCAGTCAATTGAGCCGCAGAGGCTGATGCTCGAATCAAGGCCGGATAACAATTCGTAGGCGCTGTTCGTTTCATTTGATTAGACTTCACATCTTGGCTGAACCTATTTCTGGGCCGCACGCTAACACCCCGGGCGGCAAAAACGCCAGGCAAACCACACTGATCCCCACTCTTAATACTTCCAGCCCGTAGCAGCTTGCACAACTGCATCGTGCGCACCTGTTTTGAGGCCAATCAGTAGCAGTAAATGCCATTTTTGCCGCGCCGCCAAGCAAATGCTGCATTCCTCCCGCTAATCTTCCGCAAACTGGTACTCATGTACGTGGCGGAGTGGAAAATGCGGGTCTCACCTTGCGCGACGTTACGGAATGGGGCCAAAACAGCATGCAGTGCTGGACGCCTTAAACATGTATACATTATGCAATTCTTATCTTGCGGTATACTTGTAGTGGATACTTCCCTCTTGTACTTCTCATTCCTCCTCTCCTGCCATCTTTTGGAGCTTCACGTTTTCCACATTGCCTAGCTGCTCTGGCAAAAATGGCCTACGAACCAGTTGGCCGTACCGACGGCTCGCGGACATCAATTGGCGACGATCTCGAAACGAGAATGCAGTATGATGCCGGCTCGTACAGTAGTGACCCTTCAGCGACAGGTCCAGTGCACCGTGGGGTAGGAGATCAAGCCAAAGGTGCCAAAGGCGCAACTTGGTCTAGTGAATCAATATCAGAGCAGTGGCCTTTGCAGTCGCAAAAACTGGCACCGATGACGCCGTGGCATGGATTTATCATGGTTTTTGACCTGATTCTGGCCTCCACGCCCATCATGTTTATTTGTAGGTTCAATGTTGTCTGGTTTCCGGGCTTGCATGTTGATTTGGCATAGCTCTCGCCCTCATAGCTGCCAGGCTAGATGGGACAGAAATTTCGGACTATGGATCCGGTTTGAAAGAGGCACTACTCATATCGCCAACAATCTTTCCTCTTCTCTTCGCAGCTTTGATGGGAAGGTTCTTTCGCCATCTTGGTCTCTGGCTGGCGCAGCGAGGGACAACGCTCGGTCGTCTTGAGCAGCTAGTCGGCTGTCAATCCGTTTTCTCTGCACTTGAGCGACAAATCTCTCTCCGTTCGTGGTCCATTATCGGAATAGCATCAATTCTAGTCTGGCTTCTTTCACCAGTCGGGGGTCAATCAGCACTGCGTCTGCTCGACCAAGAAAGTGGCGAAATCCATTCGACTGGTCAAATTCGCTACTTGAGCCCGATGGAGGTGATGAAAAGCATACTGACTGGCGCTAGCTCCGTCAACAATGGCCGGAGTGGGTTCACCGCTATTTGCCTTGCAGCTCTACTCAGTAGTTCCAAGGTTAAGGACACGCCCGTGGACTTGTGGTAGGTAATTTTGCTAACTGAATATGTTACATATCGCTCCGTACCCGAAATAGACTAACAAAAACTTCTCTAGGGGAAACGTTAAACTTCCTTTATACCGGCACATTGAGAACAGCACCTCTGACGAATGGAAAACCATTTGGAATCCGACCGGCAACAACATCACATACGCTTCTCTGATAGGTATTCCGGTTGTGGGTCTACCTACGGATGGAGTCAGCACTTTTAATATTAAAGCCCGTCAATGGGATATAACCTGTTCGAGCAACGAAGGCACAAACGATAATCAGACAGACTTCAAGAACCTATACACATGGCAACTGTCATATACCGATAAGAAGACACCAGTGTGCCAAAATCAAACACGGTGTAATACCGAAATGTGCAGCGGTTATCCTTGTCCAATCCGTAGCCTGTCGCTCGCCAGCAACGAAACCTATTTTTTCTCTGTAGCTGCGTGTGATCTGACACTGGAGAATTTCGAGGCACAAGTACAATGTACCGGGCGGGCGTGTGCTGTACAAAAGATGAGGAAACTTCCTTTATTGGACGATGATTACCCAATTGGGTACGATACGGCCATGCGGAATATGTTCGCCCTCACCCAACTCCAACAAATGACTTCGCTGGATAATCACAACACGGCAGCCAGAGTAGCGCGAGGCTCCACCAACATGGAAAGATGGATGAGAGACCCTTCGCGATTCATTGGCTTATTGTACAACAATGTGAACCTGTATGAGCTGTCGCCGCAGCTTTTTGGAGATCGACTGACTATCGGGTACAACACTTACTGGCAGTCGACGTACGGAACCGCCTCTCTGGCTGGTAATCTACCCGATTCTGTAGCAGAGACTGGACTACTCCGAGTTGCAACGCCCGACATCACTGCCACTCCTGATGTAGAATTTGTGGCATCGGAAGCATCCACAGTCACAAAGACGAAGCCAATGTACAAAATAAACTGGAAGTGGTTCACAGCACTCATGGTGTGCTCGTGCATCCTATTGGCGGCGGCGTACACTGGCCTTGTCCTCAAATACATCACCATCGCCCCAGACATCATTGGCTACGCCTCTTCTCTAACAATTCTGAATCCATATGTTCCGACACCAACAGGAGGAACTACGCTCCACGGCCTGCAACGCGCAGCCTTGCTACGCGACTTGCCAGTGCGTATAGGCGATGTTAGTCCCAACGAGCCCGCCGGCGTCATCGCACTTGCCAAAGCCGACACGGAGCAAGTAGCAAGACTAGACAGGCAACGGTCGTACATATGAAAAAAAAGGAAGATGCTTTTTGAGACCAGCGCCGCTGCAAACTCATGCCGCCCTGTCAGCGCTAAGGCGACAACGGAGCAAGAAACCTAACGGCCGCCAAGTATGATGCGCAAACTACAACCGATGACAGCAAAACACCGCCCTTCTCGAACGACACCTGTTGTATCATGTTTGAACCCCACGGCATACAAACTCGCTTGTACAAGTAACATACGTAATAAATGGGCGCTGGCCATGCTACGCCTCAAAAATCCAACCGAAACGTGGGTCGGCGGGTACACTACACATGACAAGTCAGGACACCCCAATCCTCCCTTAATGTCCGAGTCCATTTGAAACCGAACAGCCCTACGCCTACAAAGAAAACGTCGACAGCGAGCTTACTAAAACTTTTGTGAGTGGTGTAAGTGTTTAGACGGCATGGTTCGGTTAAAGAAGCAATGAGGCGTTTGGTGTGTCGACTCCACTACACATGGGGTTTCAGCGTGCCTGAGGCGTGCGCACCCCTCGTGCTAAACGCCTGCGTCTTGCCGTTTTTCGTCGCTTCTGTGACATGTCTTGGTAAAGCCGAAGTGGTGCCTATTCTACTACACATTTCTGTTTGCAGAAGGGGAAAAGGTGGCGTGCAGGAGGTTGTTAGCGGGATGGGGGAAGGAGACGATGACGAGTACCGTATATATAAGTATGTAGTGATTCTAATGTCTTAACTCTTTTCTTTGAGATATCATCAAGAGTGTGCGGGTCTTCACTTGTTTTATTTCGTACTTCCTCTTCACTTTCTTATTTCGACTTCGTTCTTGTAGCGCTAGTCGCACGGGTTTTGTTTCGAACGACCGAATACTTACGTTTACTCTCAATTACAAATACGTCTTTTTTTTCTTCTACCAGACGACTACCTTCTTCACGGCCTTACAGAGGAACCCGAAATTAAAAAACAAGAAAGACTTCGAAAATGAAGTTCACCAACGCCGTCGTCGCCTTCAACGTCGCCGCGCTGACCAACGCGCTGGCCATCTCCCCCCGCCAGAACAACCTGCAAACCTTCACGGGCGCCATTGGCGGCGTATCGGCTACTCCCGTTCTCAACTCGGGCAATGCCAATCGCCCATTTAGCGTCGGAGGCGATACGTTTGTGAATGCTGCGGCAGCCCTAGCGCGATCTTGCGACCAGCAGTTCAATGGTTGCGCCAACTTGGCGAACGGTGGGGATGACAATGTTTCCGTAGCACAGTGCGCGACACAGAAGAGTAAGTTGAAAGTGCAGTGGGGAATTGAGGTGAATGATTTGTACTGATGATTTTGTAGGTACATGTTCGGCGCAGGCTAGTGCGGGTGCGGCTCAGGCACAGGCACAGGGTGCGGCTCAAGCTGGAGCTCAGAATGCTGCTACTGGCAATGCTGCCACTGGAAATGCTGCTACCGGCAACGCTGC